GCCCTCCTCGCTGCCCTCAGGATCTTGAACTCCACCATTTTGTGGTCACTGCAGCCCAGGCTGCCCTTGAGCTTCACATTCCTCACCAGCCCCTCCTTGTTGGTGAGAACAAGGTCCAGCATAGCACCTCTCCTCGTTGGCTCCTCTACCACTTGGAGAAGGAAGTTATCATCGACGCATGCCAGGAACCTCCCGGATTGCTTATGCCCTGCTGTGTTGTCCCTCCAACAGATATCGGGGTGGTTGAGGTCCCCCATGAGGACCAGGGCTTGTGAGCGTGAGGCTGCTCCTATCTGTCTATAGAGGGCCTCATCTACTCGGTCTTCCTGGTCAGGTGGCCTGTAGCAGACCCCCACCGTAATGTCACCTATGTGATATAATGTCACCTAATGACATGTAATGTCATCATTTAAAGATTTAAAGAAAAAAATCTGTCTTAACCAGTGTCCAAACCACAAAGGATTGAACTTTCTGAATGGCATGGAAATACACTCAGAACTACGACCTGTCTTCCTCCTGCCCAGCACGTGCACTTTGTCCATGCAGGCCTGCCACAAAGGAGGGCGCAGGCATCCCTGGGGACTTCAGTCCTTTGTCTTGCAGGTTGGTGCGGGGTCTGTCTTCCTCCCGCTGAGCGCTGGCTCTAGTGTTCACAGCCCTAACACAGAAATTATTATGAAATTTTTTAGTCCTCTGATGTGAAAATGTGCCGAACGCCCATTTTGGCAGCACTGTATGGGACCCCAAAGGGAATGTGTTATCAGTAAACTAAGTTAAAATCATGTATGAAACAACAGAGAAAGTGCTGAGCAGTATAGAGCTTATTCATATTTTGTCTCAGACAGGGGACTGCTGGGGTGCTGTGAGAAAAAAGGGGAAGCCCTGGGAAAGGACTTGCTGTTGTAAACAGGCTTGGTAACGTCTGGTTTCGTTTTGTGTGCTCCAGTTACAACACGCAGCAAAACGCTTGCTGTCCTTGAGGTATAATTCTCCTTGCCTCTGGCACTCTTGGTGTAGAAATTTTCACCTTTCAAAAACTCACTTCTTTTTTCCTGCACCCTTGGACAGAGTGCTTTCCATGGTGGCACCGTGATTTTAATGCAGCAAAGCACAGCTGCTATTAAGAATTTTTTGGTTCAGCTACAGAAAGAAATTGCAGCATCCCAAATCCAGTTTAGTCAGTACAAAGACAGCTATGTATAGATTTGTGTCAAAACCAAAGTAATGAAGAAGAGGGTAAGCCGAGGGCCATTCAGACTGGTGAAACAAAAAAGACAAGTTATCAAGTTTTTCATTCTTGAGAGTGGCAATCTTCATTCTTCCCAGGGTAGAAGGCTATGTTTCTCTCACTCCTGTGCTCCTGGGTTATAGCACCTTTTACGTTCTAATTTTCAGCTCTCTAGCTGGACTTGGCACTGGCAAAACTTCCTCTTGACTGCTTCCTGACTTCCTGACCGTTGTAGCTGAAAACATTTTGCATTACTTATGTGTTTATCCACAGGGAAATGCTATTGAAAGAAAGGCTTAAAATAACAAAAGCTCTTATGACTATGACTTAATGAAAGCTTAGTACTTCCATGAAGATTAAGTAGGCCTACTTAGCCTCTTTCCATAGGACTTGCCCTCTTCTTTGTCTGCTGTAATCAAGCAGGTTACTAATCACTGAGCTTGAAGTGATGCATTTGTCTGTCTTGCATTCCTTTTACAGCTTCTGCCCAATTACTTCTCTGTCTCTAACCTCAAAATTATATTGACTCAGAGATAATGCTTCAACAGCGTTATTCACAAAGTCCAGCAACCTGGCATTCTGAAAGGCCCAACTCTGTTTACATTTTACTTTAATTCAACAAAGGAAGGGGCAAAGCAAAATGTTGCAACAAACTGAAAATTTTATCTGCTATGTTTATAACCTCATTCTTGGTTCTCATGCAGGTTTGTCAACTTCTGCTTTCCATTTATAGCATGGCAGGCAATAATACCAAATTTTTGTAATCTTGGTAACGTAATGAGGCCACACAACATGAAAAAGGAGAACTACGTGCGTGTAGGTTAGTCCTACTCATGGGACTTCACTGTGTCCACCCACTTTTCTAAGTTCTGGCTCTAGATTCTGGTGTCTTCTGCAGCAGAACGCAGAGAGGTCCATTTCCAAGCTGTTCATAGGGACAACCGTGTAGAAGGGTAAGAGGAATGAAGATTAGTTTATAACAAAGCAGCATGTGGTAGTGTGTGACTAGGTCTGCTCTGCCTTCTTTCATCAGAGCTGCAGCGTTAGCTGTATTTCTCTTTTTTCATGTTGCAGGTAGACTTCATGGTACAGCAGGTTGCTCCACATTTGCACACCTCAGGAAAGTAGACATGTGCAGCCAGGGACATCAGTGGCATTCTGCTAAGGGCAGAATATTTGAGAGCTGTATTATAGCTATCCTTCATTGCAAAATATGGTGCTTGATGCCAAGCTGAAACTTTTCATGGTTGTGGTGTCTGGACACCTATTTTAACAGGATATGGTCTGGAAATTTTGCTGGTTGTTCATTTCATGCTGGTATCTCAATATTATGGTGGAGTAAATTATTTGGATCACTAGCCCAGGTAGCATTCATATCAGTGATCTGTAAACACTGAGGAGCCAATATTTGGTTTTGAAATAGTTTGATAAGATGATGAATAACCAACAAGTAGTGTTATTCCACTACCTGTGGAATATCCAGGAGGAATGTTTGAGCTTATTCTAGTGCCTGCTGCAGTAACTGGAAGGAAATAGAAGGGACTTAAAATGAGGTGGAGGAAGACATAGACTTTGTCAAGAAATGTAGCTGCAGCAGTCTAAGCAGTTCTCATATAAACATGGGTGACTACAGCAGGGAGCACCTTAGATCAGTCAGATTTGTCTGGATAATGTATGGCACTCTGCTTGAATGGCTATAGCAATTCCCAACTCATGAGTAGGTATGCACATGAGTTCTGAAGGGGAAAGAGAATTGATTAAAAAATAATTTTGATAGATTCCAAAATGTCAGTGAGTGCCCTGTTACCAGAAACTAATTCCCAAGGTGACCATGCCATTCTGTACACAATCAACTGTATGGTTTGGGAAAGAATTGTATAAAGTAAGTGTTCTACATATCACTGTTCCTTCTTGTGCTGAGGGGATGTCTCCTAATGTCACCTCCAGGGCTTAGGAACTGGGTGTAGTATCCCAGCCAGAAGCTGCTTCCCTGAGAAGAAATTGTCCTGACAGTAAAGAATGGGATTCTTCTTCCATCCTCTTCACTGCAGTCTTCTCATTTCCCCGATACCTGCTGGATCTGTGCTTGCATCATTTATACCCTGATAAAACAGAGGAGTTGTGATTCATTCAATACTTGGCAATTTTTGATCCAGGTGGTCAGACTGTAGTATCCCACTCCCCTGATTGGTGTAAAAAATAGATAAGTCTCATTGCAAGCTGTATCTGGATCTATAAGTTTAAGTAACTCAGCGCAAGACTTGGTAAGCAATACCAGTTCCACAGCCTTAAGATCTCAGTGTCTTGTCAACAGAAAGCCACAGTGCAGGACTTGTAGTTTTGGTTGAAAAAAACTGTGGTTTTGTCATAGCTAATTGTTTTGCAATTTGATTTCAGACAGCAAGAGACAAATCATGGATTCAGCATTTGTGTCTGAAAATGGCTATCTTGATTTGCTGCACAGTGATATTGATCCATTGCATCTGTATACTCTCCTTGATCCTAAGTCATCTGGAAATGAAGAAGGTGACTTCCCTGCAGGTTAGTAAAACACTAAAAAATGCTTGATTAGTTTAGTCATCATGTTATAAGTTATTACCATCTCCTCTCAATTACATAGCCATCTAATGGCAGTTTATCATGGTGGCTGGACTAAATTCAACAGACACTTGGTCTTATGATATGATAACTTTGTCAGTATCTGTATATAAAATAGTAACTGCTTCCAGAAAATATCATGTTTTTAAAACTAAATATTTACAGCTTCCTGCTCGGTGAGTCTAACAAAACATACTCTACATGTCACTCATCAAGGTGTGAGGCTAATGTCTTTGGTTTGGATATCATTCCTGTAAGTAGTTTATTCGCAGATGTTGCTATTGTAAGCTGGTCAAGTGTAATTGTCAACACTTTTGTAGTTTCAAGCCAAAAGCTTTGCAAAACAGAGACTTTTAGACGAGTTTGTGATAAAGCCAGTCTGCAAGCAAACTAGCATTTCATTTCCTTCTGAGATCCTAAGGCACCAACACAATGGACTTTCATTACCAGATGCCGTTTTACAGCTTTTGGGGGCACAGACCAATCATTTTATGATTCTGTGATAGATCAGAGAGCAGAAGGGCCAGGGCGTAAAGATGATAGTTTCTTGCACATAAGTTCCTACAGGTAATCAGGTTAGGAGGTTGCCCTGGCTCTCAAACTTTCTGCTCCTGGATTTGTGGGGAGGTTGTGGAACGTTCTGCTCTCCCTGAGTTTGCTGGTATAAAAGTATGAAACGGTATCTGTGCTGCTGACTGTGTTGTGGAGCAATAGCTAAGCTTATTTTAAACAAATGAGCTGGACTGTGGGTTGAGAGTGGCAATGAAAGGAGAAGAACAGATGTATGCCAGATATGAAGTCCTATAGCTCTCTGCCCAATAGGTATAAAACGTTACCAAATTGGAGGATACCACCTCACATCCTTGTTGCTTTCATGAGTGACCAATGTCAGCAGGTACATGGGCAAATCAGTGGAGAACTGAGCACCAGAATCTGGAATAATCTTTGTGATTAATTATTTCCTAGGTTGAGCTTTTCTCTTTCAACTTCTGACTGTTACTAACACCTGTAGGAGTGTTTCTTCACTCCCATGGCTTCACTTGCTCGGTGACTGAAAGTAGGATGAATTAGGGATCAAGGACTTACTCTTGTTATATCAGAGATATTTCACTGATTTGAATACTTTTGAGCCTTAGCAATGTCTGAGATGATGTAGATAAATTGAACATTGTCAGGATGTGGCGCCAGTTATTGGAAGCTGGACATCTCTTCTGTGAAGATGTTAGCATGGTCCCTGGCATGTTTTTGGCCTTGGCCAACTAGCAGCTTCACAGGCAATTTGTAGCTGCAGTTCAGGGGTTAGCATGGACCCAGCATCATTCTGAACAGTGAATTTGGATGGTACCACCATATCCTGAAGAATAAGAAGGTTTAATAGTATGGATGGGTCCAGGCCATGCATGTAGGCCTTAGTGTCATGGAATGGATTCTGAAACTGTTTTATTTACTAGGAGAGATGAAGTCTCAGAGTTAGCAAAAGAAAAGTGTTGATTTCTGGGTGACTATAAATTACTGAGAGTTCAGTTCTGTTCCTACTTAGCCAACATACAATGAAGAGCCAAAGCCTTACGCTGAAGTAACAAATCTGCCTTTTCTGCATGTCCTGCTATGTTTTTTTTACTCCTTGGTTATGGTATTCATTGAGCCAATGCATACTCCTTTTTAATTACAGATCCTGAAGCTGATGCCAGCAACTATGATCAGTTCAGTAATACAGATTTCCTGTGTACGATGGAAAATGGTGAAAATGGGGATGAATTGTATCTCTGTTCCAACACCATAGAAGCTTATGCTAGAATAGGTATGAAAGCAATTTTTGTTTTTTAAAATCATTATTTTCCAACCACTTGCTATAGCTGTTTCTTACAAACTCTATTTTCAGTCTAAAGCAGCGGCATGTACTCAAGTGGCCTGTCCCTCATGCATGGTAGCCAGGGTACCTAAACCTGTGCATTGTGGGGAAACAGATGAACAGTAGCTTGTGGTTGCTGGGGGAAAATCTCTCTATTAATGGCTCCTTCTGCTTAATACTTCCTGTCTCAACTTCTCCTTTCTCGTGTTCTTTATTTCCTGAACAACAATTTACAAGAAAAACTTAATTTAACTCTTCAATTTCACTTATACTGCAGAATTCTGTTAAAGAGGGTAAGCTTACAAGAGTTTTTCTGTGAAATTTACTGTGTCATTACTGTGTTCCTTTTTTTTTTTCCCTTCTTGCTAGCTGAATTAGCAGAATATGTGCTCAAAGAGCCACAGGAGAAGCAGGTGGAAGACACTTTTGGTAAGATTTATGTGGCAAAGATTAATTTTCTCCATGACAGTGTTCTGGCTAACATCTGCACTGTACTTCATCCCCACAATCTGAACACTAGTGAGGTTTCTGTACATCTGGTATCCTCTTCTTTCCCCCTGGGAACTGTCTCCCAGGATTTTCTTGGCAAACTTTGAGGATTTTCTGTATTTCTGGAGGACTTTCTCAATGATGGCAGTTTTATCTCTGTTGCTGATTACGTCACCATGGCCATAGTGTATGCACAGCTTAACTGTCTACTGCAGTATATGCCCTCAGTTAGCATCAGACTTATTCTGAGCACAACACGGATGATATACATAAGTTCATTAAACCTGACCCACTCAGAGGACTTAGCATGCATATAAATGCAGTTCATGCACACTTATTTCTGTCCAGGATGCACAGAGCTGCCTCAGGAAGAGTGTCAAATTTTACTTCTCTCTCTGATCAATGCAGCAATGGTATAATACACATGTAGTAAATTATTCCTTCATTCAGTGCTTGACCAGAGAAAATTGCTTGGCTTTTGGTACAAAATCATTGTTTTGGTAGTGGCACATATGCAGCTGTTTGCTATTTCAGAATATTTATGTTTATATGTGGCTGTTGGGAAATCCGTAGAATTGGGAAGATTCACAGAATATCTGTATATCCTGTTTTATGTTTGAGCAAAGTAATTTGGAATAACTTACCCAAGGTCAGTCTTTCCCTAGAACAATTCTGGCTACAGGAAGCTCATGTGACTTTTTTGATGCTTTTTACTGCTCCCTGGTGTGTTTAGAATTTGATGGTTTTGCACCTAATGGCAAAATTTGTATTGGTTTTAGAGGAAATGAGGTACAATATTAGTATTTACGTATTTGCCAGTAAAAGAATGGTATGAATAACTTCACAGTTCTTACAACACAAAATATAAAATCTGTTTAGAACCCTTTATTCTGTCTCTTAAAGGATCTAATCCTTTTCGTACATAAAATGAGTAAGTAACTTTACTAGTACTGAGATCATTCTGTGATATGGCTGTGATGTTTTATCCTTTGCTCATCATTAGAGCATTGAGAAGTATTTATGTTTTATTAGCCAGTGGATATATGGCAGTAGATTAATATTTTGCAGTTCAGAAACAGGGTGACAGAATCTGCATTCAGAGCTCTGTGGGCTTTCTAAATCCTATCGATCTGGATATGTGTTTTATTGAGTGATTTGGGTTTTATCTTTTATTTGGAGCATATTACATCTTTGCTGCCGATTGGTGTGTTTCTCTTGCTTCTACCTCTTCCTATAATTTTTCTAGGAGAACAAAGGTTGACATTTGGCAATATTTCATGTTTTTAGCAGGGAACCTTATTTTGGATGAAATGGCTGCTGAAAACACTGAGAAATTTATTGACATAAAGATGCAGAAATGTCACAAACGAAGTAAGTGAAAAACAGTGAGAGTTTGAAAGGCTGTAGTGTTTGAATTCTAAATTTGCATTACGGTACTTTGGTTTTAACACAGCCTCAATGCATTTCGCATGTAGATCTTCACTGATACAACCAGATGTGCTTCCTCTGACTGCCCATCCTGTGGGGGCTGGAAGAGAAAACAGCTACCCCAAGCACATTCTTTACAATTCGCAGAATTTGTTGTCCTGTAACATGACGTTAAGCATGTTATATTTCTTCCCTTTTTTTAATCATCTGTGTGACAGTGTTAACTTTGTTTTCAGTGTATCTATAGCTTAGCAAGCATTAGTTGAACAATTCCCTCTTTAATAGCAAGAACAACAGCAAAAATCTTTGATTACTGGCGCAAAAATCTGCAGCCTAATTGAAACGTCATGGTCAGAGTAAAATAATATGAGGCTTTTCACATTCATGTTTTATACATCGGACCTGTACAGTTCTGAAATAGCTGAATTGAAACTGATAACACCCCTTTCTACTTTAAAAAGTTAAAATAAATTTCCACAGTGGAAGCTTAAAATTACCAAACTAGTTCAATTTTTTGTCACTTACTATCACCTTTGTTTCTTTCAGCCTTCTCAGGCTCTGCAGAGAGCTTCTCTGATGCTTCAGAACCCAAATACAAGAAAATTGGTAGGTTATTGGCTGAACAGGAAAAGATTATTCAACATCTATTGTCTCCTGTGTGTGTTCCAAAGTCTCATCCTCTGTTAGGTATTGTAACTCTACCTTCTAGGGAAAGTTTGCTCTCGTAGATTTGATGATACAGCATTGTCATGCATTTTCATGTTTCTACTTCCAGCAGAGTAGAAATCACTGTAGAATCACATTCTCATACACCTATGACTAATTCATGATGCAACAAGTCTGTGCCCTCTTATCAGTAGCTATTAAACTGTGCATCTTAGGACCAACTACGTGGTAGCCTGGGAACAGCTGGATCCTTATGCTTCAAAAGCACATGTTCCTGCCAGGTGATAGAAAAATTACTTCCTTAGCATCAGCAGAGGCACAGCTGAACTTTTCTAAATCCACCTGAGAGAAGAAAGCAAAACAGTGGGGAACTGGGTCAGTGCCAAATATTGTAATTTTTATCACCTTTGTTTATGACGGGTAACGTGACTCAGGCCATAGTTTGGCATTTCCTGGGTTTGATCCTCTTTGTTCTAAGTGTGACCCTTTCCAAAAATCCAGTGAAACACCCTAGTGAAAATAATAACTGTGAATAGATGGCTTCTTGGCAGTGAAACACCCTAGTGAAAATAATAACTATGGCTTCTTGCCCCAGCCCATGTTATGCAGTTCTTTAAACCAAAGTAAGAATGGGAGAAAGGGAAATTTCTAGGTGTTGCACACTGTTAGACCATCTACAAGGCAGTACCTGTGGCCAGCAGGCAGGCTGTAACTTGTTCCTTAGGTGTAAACTGGTGCTAAAGTTCTTTCCCAGCTGTAGCCTAAATGGGTGTCTCAGACATAGCTAAACCAGCAAAATACTCTTCCAAAATCCATGTGAGAGCAATCACCTTTGAGTGAATGTATTATACTGTGTTTTGAAGTGACTTATGCATTACTGTATGCTAGCACACTTCCCAAGCCTCTTAAGGGGAACTCTGACTGTACCAAACCCCATGGGCCGTGTACATGTCAGGGCGGGCAGCCAAAACCAGCATGTAACCTAGAGAGCCGTCCAGAGAGTGCTTGGATCATGGGACTGCACCTCAGCAAAATTCAGGCCGGCAATTGCCCAGCAATTGCTAAGGAACTGGCCTAGACTGAATGAAAGTCATAGAGAGCACGCACGTGCGCTGAGACTGTGACCCAAGCTGGTTTTCCAATGTTCATTTGTTCATGTGGACTTCTGGGGGGGGATTGAGCAGAATTAGCTGTGGAAAAAATACATTTTCTGGATCTGGAAAGGTAATCAGAGTTCCTACTGAACCGGTGCCTGCCAGTTGTAGTTATTTAGACACAGGTAAAGTTCCTGGCAGTCAGTACCCATTAAAGGTGGATTACCTTCTATCTGCTTAAATTCCTTTATAGATTTGGAGCTTTTGAAAGCCTATGTTTATGCCATACTAACAATGAGAGTTTTCAGTAAGGAAATGGCACATCGATTCCTGACTTAAAAAAACCCAAAAACAAACAGTAAAAATGCCTCACCATACAGAACTTGCATTCCAATCTACAGTATCATCACAGAGCTAAGAGGTGCTTTGTAAAGCTGCACCTATCCTTTTCCGAAAAGTGTTCAGAATATTGTCACTCTCTCTACCTTACTTGACCCAATGAAGGTGCTGAGGGAAGGAATATATACATAAGGCAGTATAAGTACTGGGTACAAAAAAATCTAAGTGACAGAAAGATGAGCTACGTGACAAAATCAGGAATTTATTTAACCTGTCATAAAATGAGTGTCACAGTGTGATCCTGAAAAGGCAAGTGCATCAACTCTTCAGAACTGTAAGACTATCTACAGTAAAGAGGATAACGTGTACTAAAGCTCAGAGTGGTAAGCCAAGGATGAGACCATTTCAAAGGAATTGAATTAAATTAAACTGCCACTGCCCAACTGTTTGTGGCTAGCTATAACAGTACCTGATCTTATCTGACCATAGCAACACAACAGTCCTTGGATAGGAAATTATGTGGGAATTTCACATGCTGATTTACACACAAGCTGAAAAACACTTTTAAAAGTCTTTTTTTAAAGTAAAAATGAAAGATTCCTATAACAAAATAATACATCAGTTCCTCATGAACAATGTAAACACATCCCACCCTAAAGAGCTTGCGTTCCAGATGACAGTGTACACTATAGTGGCACAAAACCCACACAGGTTTGTAGCTCCTTATAAAACATTAAACTGCAGAAAGCGATGAAATAGAGACTTAACTGTTGCTGCTAGACAGGAGAGGGAAAGAAAAGCAAAACCAACTCTGACAATAAGGGTGTGGCAAAACCAAGGAAACTAGCAGCCTAGTTCAAAATAAGCAAGTGTATCTTACTTGATTTGTAAGAAACTTTTGATAAGCAGATGAAATCATACAATGCACATGAGTCTCCCTCCCCATTTGTCCTCTTCTTAAAAAAAACAAGTGCTGCAGGCAAGTTGCGTCTTTTAAAACTCAGGTGTTTGTGACTGTTCTTTGGGAAGCTCTCTTAACACAGACTAGTGATCCTTACAAGCACGGTAGTGTCTAAGTAGAGAGTCAAGGTCCTCAGTTTATTGTACTTGGACGTCTCTAATCTTGTGCAATATTAAGGTAACAAACCATGCTTGAGAAACTTAGTACAGCCAATGTAAGACCTTGTTATTCAATCATCCATGTGTAAGATCATTTACATCTAAACATATCTGAAGGTTTCTAGAAAGAAGACAGGCCAGGAAAGATGAAGAAAATTAAAAGAGTGAACTACTGGAAAGAAGTGATCTACTACAGAATTTCATGAATACATTTTAGATTTTGAGACCTGAGTAAATTTCAGAAAGCTGTTGTGAATTGTTCTTGCCTTTGCAAAATCAAAACACAACTGATCAGAATCAAGTGGTTTATGATATCTGTTGAAACATCTTCTTTGGCCTCCTTAACTTCTAGCCATGAAATAACTTTCTTCTTTTGTTTTGCCTTTTTTCTTTCAAGTGGAAGTCCCTGCAGTGCCTGCAGGGAATGGCAGTTTCTTAGCTATGCCTCTCAACACCCATCCAGCTAGCTCCACCTCACTAACTAACCAGCACATGTCCCTTTCTGTTCCTGCTACCAATCCGTTGGAAAGAAGTTTTGTAATTCCTGGTATGTACAGTACAGCTATAGGTGGGTACCTGTACACAGGTTGATTTATACAAGGGGAAAACTCTCTTATAAATCTGGTCATTGTCCATGAGCGATGGCGGGGAAAACAAGTATGGCAGCTGTTTCAATCAAGCACTTAAAAGTGTGGCACTCACTAAAAGAATGAAAAATATTCAAGGAAAATTAAAAGTGCATTGCCCCTAATGAAATAGAATGAGTCTTTCATTTAATTGGTGAAGTGCAGGTTAATAAACAAGAGAACAGAATTATTTACTATATGCTAATTTAAATAATTACTCTACTTGTCTTAAGAGTAGGAAATCACAAAATTTTCATTAATAAACTTTGGTTTAGTTCCAATTTCTTTTTCATCAAGAGGTTTGTAAAGGACTGCAGGATAATTTGCAATAGTAGAGCAAAATCTGGGTTGGAATTTTGTTCACAAAAACTGAGTACTAATCCAAGTGATGGGCTGTGTAGCCACCTTGCCTTGATCATGTTGTGTAGCAGAGAGTGCTTATGGTACACTGGCAAGTGCTAATGACAAAGACACAATTCAACACCTTTCACTGTTAAATCTATGCTGGAAAGGAACCAAAAAGCAGTGGATAAGTTAGAAGTCTTGAAGTATCTGATGCTAGCTGAAACAGCACAATGTAGCAGAAGAAATTCTGTCACACCTACAGAAACTCAGAGCTATGGCTGATTAAATTGCAAGCACTGCATCATCAAAAAAATTTCCCAGTGCGGGTTCAGAGGGAGGATGCTTGCTAGCTGCTTGTACAAGCTACATGATCTGCAATTATGTGGGAAAGATGTAGGGCCAAGGATGGTAAAATTAATTCAGATACATAATATTTACACATTTTGTCTCTTCTGGATCTCTGGCCCATACATTTATAGACTTTGCCTTAAGCACTTTTCCTTATGTTAATAGAATTTCTCTTTAGACTATCGAAACCAGTGGTCACTAAAAGATGGGTAATCCCTTGTATTTCACATTCATCATACCTTTTAAGAGTTTTTGTTTAATGGATTCTATGGATCTCATGTGATCCTATGAATTCTGGTTCATAAACTCTCCACTGGGAATATTTGCCCAGAAGCTGCCAGAAAGGATAAGTGGCTTTTAGAAAGCTTTTTTTTCCTTAGAAACCTTTAGAAACCAGGAGCCTTTAAAAACAGAAGAGTAATTATTCTGCGTTCATTTCAGGATTTTCAGCGCCTTTGATTCCAGAGTGTCTACCTGTTGGTGTGAAAGGAAGCCAAGAGAATACAGGCTTTGCAGGTCCTCCTCAGCAGATACTTAACTTTGTTCTTGGAAATGGCACATCTCATGTTGTAATATATCCAGGTAAGAGCAATAACCTTTTATCCACATAAATAGGCAGAAAGTACTGGAAAATCAATGCTGTCAACAAAGTACTAAGTTCCCTCATTTCAGTTACTGATAGCTATGATAGGCTGAAAACTATCATTTGTTTCTTGCCAGTGCTGACTTCTTCCACAGAAACACTGATATCCCCAAGTTTTCCAGTTAGTTTATGTGGTAAGTAGAAAATGAATTTTTATATATACGGTACTTTGGATTGGGAGAGGGAGCATATTGCTTCTACCCAAAGCCAATTCTCCCCTCCAGGCTTTACTCATATTGACCTTATTGAGGAAAATAAAAAATAATGGCATTTCCTTCTTTGTATTGATCACTGGCTGCTTAGTCTTGTCCAAAATACAGAGCAGATAAGGGGTTGTGGAGCTACAGGTTCAGCTATATATTAGCAGCCAATCCACTGCGTTTGCTATGAAGTCCGGTTTCTGGAAGAAGTCTTCTCGTCTAGTTAAAACAATACAAAAGCCCAGTTTGCTTGGGCACCATGAGAAGTGGAAGTGGTGCTGGTACTGGCGTGGCCTGAGCATCTTAAATGCTTGGTGCTGGAAGCCAGACAGCAGTCAGCTCGCATGGAAGCCCCAAAACCAAAATGATGACAACTTATTTAACTAAACAATACCAAAGCCTAATATACAGAAAGGCTTATAAAGAAATCAGAGCCTTGGTAGCTCAGAGAGCTGTTAGGACAGGGAGTTTGATTTCAGTGGTCATTTACCTGCTGATCTCTGCGTACCGTGGCGATTACAGCTGCTTGCAGCTTAGTACAAGTGTTTTGTTGCCCTCTGGTGGCTAACACCACGAAGATAGCAAATTTTTAAGTGGGGACTAACAGGCAAATACCCCTAGGTTTGGGGAAGTATTTCTAAATGATATATACTGTTTATGTGAATACACAATACTAATAATTCCAATTGATTTACAGCAGCACAACATACGTATGTCGCAAACCTCAGATCTCCAAATGCTAGCACATAAGCTAGCAAGCCAGTCTCTTTTCCTTTTTTAAAAATTATTAACACCTGATTGATTTGACCAATGCTGCTTCCCATCTAAATGTCTCATTACAGCTTTTCTTGGTTTTCCATTCTGTTGTTTTTATTTAATAAAATAAATAGAAAACAAAAAACAGACACTTGCCTGAAAACAGGCATGTCCCCTCTTTATTTAATATCTTAAGTCGATTTTTCTTCTACAAGGAGGAGAGCTATCTCTATAGCAAATGTATTCTTTCACTGGAAAAAGTACTTGCTTATTAGAAGTCTGTGGGTGCTTCCCTGCTAGAAGCAACTCTGAACTCTAACCATTCCACCTGCTGCTGCCATGCAGGGTAGGAATTGATTTCCAGATCTCTGAAACTTTAAGATTTGTATTTTATTTTAAAACCACATTCTACATCAAAATGAACCAAATATTATGGTAATAAATACATTTGTACAAATCTAGGGAGATTAACCTGTTTCGGTTGGGTTTTTTTTCCCACATCTCTGTTGAGTGTGGTTACCATGAGACTATTGATGAGGTTGGGTTTGTTACAGTCTCTGTCAATTTAAATTCTGTCCTGCATCTGCAAAGTTTTTCCTACTAAAAGTTTTGTCAAAACTGATACTCTGTCATTAACAGTCTGTAAAAAATATGCTTTCTCTGAAAAATTCCCGATTTCTTTGTGTATGGCAGACACTGCTCATCTGACCAAGTGCGAAGGTCTACAGTAGTTTGAAAACAAGGAGGCAAAAAGAAAGAAAATTGGACAGTGAGAGTACTTTGTCAGGAAAAGTAATGGGTAAATTCTGCTACCAATAGTCACTTCTGTGACTTTCATCCTTAATGCTTGGCTACAAGGTGTAGAATAACAAAAGGAAGCTATTGCTTTTGATGGCATAAAGAAGTCCTATGAGTGAATGTGAATTTATGCAAAACACTGACATTTGAAAAGAACAGTGGATGTCACCTTGTTATGATAGGTCTTCTGCTTCGTACAACTGTCAGAACAGCTGTCATCTTGTTTAGTGTCATACTGCCTGCAACAGTTCATGTCAGCTGAATTGTACTTGTGTGAGGATTTTTTTTTCTTTCCCCTGTAAAATAAACAAAATATCTCTTTCTCTGGATGATACATAACATACGTTGCAATTAACTTGAAAATTTGCATTAGTCTTATTGTTAAAATTAGCAAAGCTGAATCGATGACTATCTAGGTGTCTTCCTCAAGTCTATTGTTTTGTTTCTCCAGGTTTAGAAATGTTCAAAGAAGTCCGAGTTCCCGTAATTCCTTCTGAAGAACCTTTCAAAAGACCAAGTGAGTTTAGAACTGTTGAACTTCAAGCTTCCAGTATTTTTGGCTAATTTTTCTGTGTTTCTTTCCATACAGAAAAGCTACGTGTTGTAGGAACTGTTATTCAATAATTTGTGAAGCTGTTCCAAGTGTCCGAGCACAACTTCTGTTTTTAAGATATTAGACTTCTCTAGCTTTAAATATCTAGCTGTAGTACCTACTCAGGAGGTCAGTGTACTTAGCTGGTTTTATCATATGCATAGGTACCTCCAAAATTATTCCGTTCATAGGCCTAAAAGTGTCTCTCGTGCCTGCACTCCTAATTTAAGTACCTGCAATTACATGGGATAAATCCAGACCTACATGCTTTATGGGAACTGATGTATTTTGACCATATTACAATTATGCAGTTAAACCACCCTGAAGCAATGTTGTAATTTGTGGACCGGTTTCTTCAGTTTGTGTGTGCTTTTTATTTCTCTAGAGCCAGTGGAAGCTTTCTGTACATCACTTATGGATTATTTCCAAGATGTGTGCAAATCTGTGGCCATGGAGCGTGAAGTAACTCTTGATGACCTGTTTATTGATGGGACACTTGTTCAAAACCAAACTGAAACCAAGACTGGGAAGAACAGCGTAAAAGCAATGGAAAAGGAGCTGGTAACTTGCAGTCTGCAAGGGAAGGAAAAGGCAGCCCTTAAAAGAAGCCAAATATTTCAAATCCCAGGAAGTAAAGGCTTAGAGACTAAAGTGATTGTGGTGCTAGGAAAAGCAGGAATGGGCAAAAGCATTCTTGTTCAGAAGATCTGCCAGGACTGGTCCAATGGAGAGTTTTCTCAATTTGAATTTGTATTTTGGTTTGACTGCAAACAAATAAGCTTGCCTGAGAAGCGATACAGCCTGAAGGATCTGCTTCTTGAATTTTTTGTAAAACCTCAAGAGGGAAGCAAAGAGATCTTTGAGTATATATTGCAAAATCCTGCTAAAGTCCTTCTGGTTTTTGATGGTTTTGAAGGGTTGTGCGATCATGAGAATTTCCCTCGTTGCTCAGCCAGCCAGCCTGAAAAAGACTTGTGCAGTGTAAAGGAGCTGCTTTCAGGACTCATCCAAAAAAAGATACTCAATGGTTGTACTTTATTACTTACAGCAAGACCAAAAGACAAGGTGTACCAGTATGTGTCCAAAGTGGATAAGACTATTGAAATAGTAGGATTTTCCACTCAGCAGAGAGAAGTATACATAACCAAATACTTCAAAGGATTGCCCTACTGTGATAATGCACTGAAATTAATCAAAGAGTGTGAGTACTTGTTCAGTCATTGTTACAGCCCTGTTATGTGTAGATTTGTTTGTTTTCTCTGTGAGACAGTACTTGAAATGGGAGACAAAAGCCTTCCTTCAACTCTTACTACAGTCTTCCTGAAATTTGTGCAGCAAAAGATAATACCTATGCAAACAGATGTTACAGCCATGCAAAATCAAGAGAGTCTTGCTACGCTAGCCCGTATAGCCTGGTATCTTGGAGAAAAGCACCAAAGTGCCATGAAAAGTGATCTTCCTTCTAAGGAAGTTAAAGAGTTTGCTCTTAAATATGGATTTTTCCTGCCATTTGCGTTCCCCAGACATTCAGATAGTGAAGAAGAGGAATTTGGGAGTACGTTCTCTGATTTCGTCATTCAGAATTTCTTGGGTGCACTTCACCTGATGTTAGCAGAAGAGATCAAGGATAAAAGTCTAACAAAGTACCTGTCTTTTCCATCCAAGAAGAAAAAACCTTATAACTGGTTAGATTTACTGCCTCGATTTTTGGCTGGATTATTGTTCCTCCAGGATGACCCCTACTTCTGCTCCCTTTCAAATAAGGATGTAAAACAATCAACCAGGAAGCAGAATATACTCTTGAAATGTATTAGAAGACTGCAGATAAATGAGCTCTGTCCGGAGAGGTTACTCGAGCTTTTACATTGTATTTATGAAACACAAAGCGATTATCTTTTGCAGCATGTGGCCTTAAGGCTCAAGCCAGACCTGTCTTTTCTGGACATAGTTCTTACACCACCTGATGTCCATGTCCTGCACTCTATTTTGAAAAGGTCAAGAAAAGAGTTTTCCTTGGATTTGCGAAACAGCAGCATTGACATGCAAGGACTAAAAGACTTGGTTGGCCTAAATAATGTGGCATCGTTCAGGTTGGTCATTCTTTGTACATAGTAGTGTCATTCATAGGACTGTATGTAGACGACACTTTCATACAACGACAGCAGTCATATCTGTTGATTTCACGTGTTTTGTCACTTCACAGGGCCTCCCTCAGTGATACAGTCAGGCTCTGGAAATCTTTAGAACAAACAAAAGACTACGAACTGCTGAGAGCATCAACAGAGAAATTTGTTCTTGATCCCTTTAAGGCAAAGACAATGAAGGACGTCAGTGACCTTTCAGACCTTGTAGAGATGCAAGAGAAGATGATCAATTGGTAGGCTCATTTATGATCAAAAGTCCTCTTAATATACTAGCAAATTAAGAAAATGGGGGTTCACTGACAGTGCTGGAGAATGGAGTCCTCTGTTTGTCCAAAGGAGAAGTAACTAAGGCAGTGCAAGCTCTTGTATTGTCTCAGAGTGTTCTCCTACCCAGATGTGTGGTGGCTGACGTGGCAGGGGGGGGCAATGACAGCACCCAGCAGAAAATTTATCAACCCTGCCAATAAAAAAAGCCAGCTGTCATTTTTTTCTTCAGATTTCTTTTTAATCTCTGAGTATGCTATCTTCCAATTGCTTTCAGTTACATAACTTGGGCTAACTGATTTCCCCCCCCTGTAGCACCTGGGCCATAAATGAAGGTTTTTGCACCAGTCACTGACCTGAGCCAGTCCTGTAGCTCAGGAGGTAAAAGCTTGTGTTATGTGATCTATAAACCCTGTGTTTCATCCCTGCTCATGATGTGGCTAGGGGATTGGTTGCAATTAAAAGCATGCATAAATAAAGTATTTTGGTTGGGTTTTTTAAAATAAATATGGTGGCTTCCATTTTAACACGGGCAGAGGATTTTGATTAAAATATACAGAAAATAAGTTTTGAGTTTGACAGAAAATACTTGATTTAGAAGTATGTATTTTTAAGTTTTATTGGAAAAAGCAAACAACTGCACTACGAAAGGCAACTATCAGATTGAAATGAATTGAATGAAGAAAGGTTGGAGCAGAAGTTATTCTGAAGTTTCCTGGTTCCTCAGTTAATGCAGCAGCAGTTTATTTCCTGGAAAAGTTTACTAAGAAATTATTTTTAAAGCACTGTTTTGGTTGCTAAAATATTTCTCATACTCTGGTTCTACTGTGATTTATTTAGTGTGCAAGATGCATCTGGTTGCAGCAGCTATGAAATTCCTGCCATCAAAATTCCTGCCATCAAAAACCTCAGAAAACTAGAATTTGCGTAAGTGATAGACCTCTCTGTTGCTTGATATATGATTACATTTAAGACTGAGAAGAGTCATGGATATTGGCTACAGTCATTGAACTGATGTATAGTTAGTTTATGGTAAAGCATTAAGTAAACCCCATTTATTTCTATTTTGCTTTACTCAACTAGATTTATTAAGTTATGGCCAAAACTGAAAAAAGTAATTTCTGGCTCCTGCAGTGATACAGATCAACATGGTTGTATCAATTTTGTTTGGTTTTACTACAAGTTAGCTCCTTATCACTAGATGTAGATCTTGTGCCACAGGGTACAAAATGTCTTGATCGTGATCCAATTACCCGGGAAATATTTTTTCCCCCAGAAATGCTCAACTTTTCTATCTGAGTCTTCTGATGTAATTTTCTGCCCTATCAGAGCTTAGGCCATGAGAGAATAAGGTCAGAAAATACCTCCCAAATAAAATATTTAGCACCATTTTCCTGGAAGAAGGAAGATTGACTTGGAAACACTGACTTTAAAAAGGAGGTGTAGTAACATTTCTTTTTTCCCACAAACTGTAAGCAGCCTCCAAGACTATTCTGTTGCTTAAAAGATACTGCCATAGCGTGTGAATTAATTTGGACAGAATTTGCACCAATGCAATGGAGAAGTCTCATCAGGTCTTCATCTGTTTCCCGCTCTTCACATCTAACCCAGTCTAGAACTGCTATGCTTGGCCTCACTTCTCATTTTATGCTGCTTTCTCTTCTTGTTTCCTCTCCTACTTTCCCTTTATTTTAATTTTTTAGTTAAAATTCTGATCCTTTTAACTAGGCTGAACTTGTTCTGATACCAAGGAAACTCCAAATAAGAGGTTAGCGTCTGAGGGACAAATGCTTGGAGCTGGAATATTAAAGTTCAATTTATGCTTTAAGCTGCAGTAAAATGTTGATCTTAAGTTAGTCTGAATTGCCAATAGTTGGGGGGGGGGGGGGAGTTTTTTTTTATTCCC